CTTTAGTCTTTTTATTTTTTTTAATAATTAAGGAAATTAAACTTAAAAATAAATTTGGACCTTAAAATTAAAGGTTGAATTTTCAAATTTTGAACTCTAAATTTTGATCTTAAATTTTGGATTTTAAGCTCATATCATTTAGTTTCGAATTGACCCAAAATAAATTGAATTGGGTTTTGAACTATTTAAAATAGTCGAAAAATTATTAATTTAAAATAAATCTAAATGAATATAATTCAATTTAAATGTTTAAATTAATTTATATCAAAATATTTAAATTAAGTATAAAATTAAACATATTTAAATTAATTTAAGTAAAATTAGGTGTTTACAATTCTATTCTGAAATTTATTGGCAAGCTACTAGGACATGCTCATGATACTCGTTGGACACTTTGTTTCTCTTTAATCAGCCTAAAAGCTGCAAAAAAAGTAGATTACATTATGTAAAATTTACAATATATTTGAGAGTCAGTTATATTTTTTGGTATTTTGAAACTGTAAGAATTTGATCTCAAGTAATTAAAACCACGTATTCAGTACTTTGCAAGTAAAGGAGATGATTGTCGGCTAATTGCCAGTCATTTGCTATATAGACAATAGTAGCTTTCATTGACTAAATTTAAATTACACGAATAAAAGGTGAGGAAAGAGAATTAAGCTATTTATTCAATTAAATAACAGTGTCTCAAATCATAACTGTCAATCCTCTAAATGCAAACAAATAATTTGAATAATAAATCTAAAGGAAAAATCCCTTTTTTTTTGGAACATTAATTCTAGTAAGTCTAAGGGGAGAGAGGGGATTTGAACACTGAATCTCAGTCCTTTAAAGCCTAAGCTATTAAACAGAAATACTCCTTTTGTAATTTATATCACGCAACAGAATACTATAAAACTTATTCCATAAAAAAAAAAAAAAAACTTACCATGAATGGTGTTTTAACTTAATTGCTAACTTTCAACTGAATCTTCTGTCAGGCAAAAACTCTAGTAAAATTCATTAAAAGTCATCATCAGAGTCATCTATGCATCTGTTGACTCAATCAGATTGATCTAGCCGCAACAACACAACAAATGCACTATCTATTTGACATGAAAAGAATTATTTATTTTGGTATTGGTGGTGATATAAATAATACCATGTCCGTCGGAGATGTTACCATTCCCAAGCAAGTTGCCCACAATTGCATTTGGGATATGGGATTTACTCATACTGTCAGAGAGGATGTCACCCTATCAAATCACTGTGGTGGTCAGAACCCGTTAGTTGTGCACCATCTGATATTAGGAAGACTAAGAACTCCTTTTGCCAATGGTCTTCCCCTTGCCAGGATACCTTAGATTTAATGTGGACGACTCCGCAAAAGGAAAACTTTGTCCCGCTAGGTGTGGCGGTGTCCTCCGAAATGAACAATGATTTGTCCTTGCCATGATTTCGGGCCTGGTTGGTATCTGGGATTCAAACGTTGCTAAACTTTTCGAAATTAAAATGGCTCTAGAGGTATTCGCAAAGACAGAGTGGTCTCACAAGATGAGTCCGATTCAAAGTTTGTTTTTAACTGGGTCTCAAACGAATCTGCTCGACCATAGAGGCTATAAAATGTGTCCTTGGAGATTGATTCTTTGACCACAAAGCTGACAGAATTTAAACTCGTCAATACCTTTCGCGAAGCTAAGGAGATGGCGGACGCACTGACAAAATCGGGAATGGAGTAATATGATCGGTTCATGGTGTGGTGGCAGCTTTATTGGTGCTAAGGTGTTTCAATTCACAAACTTATGTCTTGAATCAGGCGCTGATCTATTGGGATAAGTTATTCCCTGCATGTCTTTCTCATTGCTACATGAATAAAACAAAACCTAAGTTACCCAAAAAAAAAATCAACTATTTTCCGTCTTTTACAAGTTTCTTGAAGATGATGTCAGCTAGCTATATTAATCATTTTGTTAGCACAGATGGGACCGTGGATTCTGCTGATGTACCGAAAGGAAATGGATCTTATCTCTTGGATATAATAAACAACAATTCTTTTTAATTTTTATTAAAAAATATACATATTATTTAATAACAGCATATAATACGAATTATAAAAATTATTATAATTAATTTAAAAAAATCATGAAATAAATTATATATAATTAAAAAAAATTATTGAGTTTAATTTCAAATGCATTAAAAGGATTTTAATTTTGAGTTTTTTATATTGAGGTATGCTTATTTTAATTAAAGGAATGTAAGTTGTTAGTATTAATTAATTATTTTAGTATAAATGATCTAAAAAAAAGTTGATTAATTTTTGATATATTAAAATAATTTTGAGTAAGTAATTAATTATTTTTGGACAAAAATTAAGTAGTAAATTCAAAAGAAAATAAATAGAATCTCTTACATTTTATTTATTTATTTTCAAACCTCTATATATATGTATATATATTTTTAAATAAGTGAAAGTTTTATTTATTTATTTTCAAGATTGTATTGCATCTCGATATTAAGGTATAACTTGTATAAATATTTTGTCTTATGTTTTTTGTATAAAGTTTTTTATATATTAATATTTTTATTTAAAATATTCTCATGGGTATCAAAACTAAACTTTTATTTATTTTGATATGTTTCTAGTTGGGTTTCATATGGAAGGAAAAAATGGGTTGGCTCAATATTTTTTGAGCCTAAGAGGATTTTGTGGCCCACTAGTACTCTTTAGGATCAGATCCGTCAAAGTGGTAAAATTGTCAATTCAAAATGCCTGATGCCTTCTAAAACCCAAACGAGACTCCGAGTTGATGTAACATTGCATCTCAAGTTTGGCAGCTGCTTAGCCGAATCCAGAGACTGCAGGAGCTTAAGCAGCAGCCATGGGTACCCCATTTTCTTTAGCTTTTCATATCTAACATTCATGATTTAATAGCTAGCTGGCTCTTATTTTCTCTATTGTTTTTCGTTAATGGAAGGATTTAAATCAGGGATCTGTTTATTTGTTTATGTAGAGTGATGGGTTTTTCTCTGCTTGATTTTTTTTCCTTTATTTGATTAAATCTAGAAACTTTTTGAAGGTCTGGTTCTGACTTATTATTAGTTTCTCATCTTTTTTATATATTTTATTACTACATTTGCCACATTAAAAAATTAGATGGTAAGTGGTAGAAATGGGCTTTTAGTTGACTGGAAGTCTTTTTAAAATGAAAAGGGTTATATTTTATTGCTTTTTTGTAAATATATTTTGATGGATCATTGTTTTGGCATTTTGGGTTCTGATTTGTGATGATTTTGCTTTTTGGTGGGTTTTTTTTGGGAAAATATGGGCTTACAAGTACGTGTCAGACTCAGAGCTGTGGAGGAAGAAGCAATCTGATGTGATGAGGTTCTTGCAGAGGGTCAGGTGTAGGGAGTACCCCCAGCACCCTTCCATTGTTCGAGTTAACCACCCAACTCGCCCTGACAAGGCTCGTCGCTTGGGATAGAAAGCCAAGCAGGTAAGCTGATTCATTGTTTCTTTGATATTGCTTTCTTCCTCTGCATTTTTATGAGGTTTGGTATTTTATCTTTTAATTTTTGGCTTATCCTATTTGCTTTATTGCAGTTGTAACATATTTTAGTTATATGATTATCCTTTGGTCTGAAAAACTGCATTGCAAAAATGTTTATGGCCGGACTTACTTTAAATGTGAGACGACTCATATGTTGCTAATATAGTTGAAATATATATATATATATATATAAATAATTATATTTACAAATAAAATAATAAATTAAATGATTTTATGATTGACAACAATAAAATTGTTATGAAAGGTATAAAGAAATGTCAACAGTATTCATGTAACAATAATACGAAAGGTATAAAGAAATTTCAAACAGTATTCATGTAACAATAATAGTTGTTATAATTAATTAAATTGGTTATATTAAAAATTTACTGCAATAAAATTTATTGTTATAATTAAAAAATTATTGCAAAAATAATTTTATCAACGACAATAATGAATATGTAAAAGATTTTTCAATGATTATAATCGTTGTTAAAGTTATTTATTGAAATAACAAAAATCATTATGCTAAACGTAATTAGTAACTATACGTGATTATGTTGCAAAATAAATTTTTGTTTTCGAAATTTATGGTTGTTAAAATAAAATTAAAGCAAAAACATTTAATCGTTACAAAATATTTTATGTAACTAAAATAATATTAATATGTAAGTTTTTATAATCAAATTTTATGGTTGCAAAATTAAATTTATAGAACCTTATTTTGTTGATGCAAAATTTTATACAACGGTATTTTATCATTGCGAAAAAAATTATTTATTTGGCAACAATTAAAAGTCGTCGTAATTTTTCTTTTTCAACAACACTATAAGTTATTGCGTTAATTCTTTATTAACGAGGTTAATAGCAACAATAAAACATTATTTCAAAATAATTTTAACAATAATAAATAATTATTTAATAATGTTTTGGATTGTTGTAATATATCAATTTTCTTATAGTGCAAATATAATCAAATTAAGCACAAATATGAAAAAGATTGTTCATCACTTCATTAAATAATTAATGGCTAAGTGAGTTAAACTAATAATATATCAATGTTAGATAAAAGAAAATAATTATGTACTACAAAAAAAAAGTCATTTTTATTGACACTTATAAATATCAGTGAAAGATTAAAAAAGTGATGATATTATTGTTGCGGGAGATTTTGACTATCCGTTAAATAAGTGTTGATGAAAACTTTTTTACGGTCAAGTCACCAATGCCAGAATTACACATGTACTTGCTGATATGTTTTTTTTTGGTATTTTAAATTACTGTTATAAGTAAACAACTTTTAAATGTATTTTAAAGTGTTGGTTAAAATCGCATTTTATTTAAAGTTTTATATTATCGAATGAGCTATATTGAAACTTAAAATCCTCCTTAAAAGTCTTTGTTTTTTTTTTTTTTTAAATAATTTCCATATTTCTAATCTTTGTAACCAATAAAATTAAAAAATAATTCATACCAATTAATAGAGAACACAGGTATGAGAAATGAAAGTCTGCAAGTCACTTTTGCAATTTCTGGCAAAAGAACATTTTTAGATTATTTATTTCCCAAATTTTGCTTTCCTGATTACAGAATAATAATTAACTGACATGTGCATCACACTTGAAGTATTCAAACATGGTTAAACTCAGACAGAGACCTCACAAATTTTATATCAGTAAATATCATGATTCATAAGTATTAAAATCAGCAAAATTCACTAGCAATGTCAATGTTTACAAGCTATTAAGATCATCAGGTAACCATCAAAGGCAAATTGCATCCTGATACCAATCCCATTACAATTACCAAAACTACCAAAACATCAAAAAGTTATCAAATTACCAATTATCATCAATAATGCAATAGCATCATCCTCAAAGGTTCCATATTTCTTTAGTTATTGGCACATAGTAATCCCAATGAATTCGATGATCTGAAACCTGCAATATAATACAATTTCTGGATTAGTTCAATCATAAGGACCACCTCATATTAGTAAAGTAAGGGGTTTTTTTGTTATTTTAGCCAATATTCTTCTACAAATGAATAGTAAGGCCTATAGAGCTGAACAGCTAAACAAGAGGGGTTTGACAACTGCTAGGAAAAATAATACCACCATCAGTGTAGGTAATTTACTCAATATACTGGCAAGACGTGGTTTTAAATTTTAAGCCAGAACTATAAGTTGAATCATAAACTTACAGGGTGAAATCCACCTTGGTGTAGAAATTCGAGAGCAGCATGACAAAAGAAACCAAACCTTTCTGCATCTTTTCTGCAACCACAAACACAACCTGTCCAAAAGAATCTGCAAGCAACAATACACCAAAGGATTCTTATGATTATAATTTTTTTTTTAACAAAGTGAAACATTGTAATTCTTAAAGGTGCTATAGGAGTATAAAAATTACCCGTTTTCTGGCTCCACAAAATAAACTGAAAGGCCTTCCACTTTTCCAAACCAAACTTTAACTTCAGTGCCACCCCAAGAATAGCCTCTTTGGTAATGAATATCCTTCACCTATATCATAGAACATTCATTTGACAGTTCTGAAATTATTAAAAAGACAAGTTTGAGAAAAGTAAAGAGATGAATGAATTGTTTTATATCTTTTTTGAATATTAAGGTATGAATGAATGAAATCGAGAATCTGATTATATGACAATAAACATCTTTTAAGTAGCATTCCCAAAATTTTCATTATGTATAGCCCAAATAAAGATGAGGGCAGGGAAGCCTTATATGAAACTTTTGTTTTCTGGAAAACCCAATAAGAAAAGGTTATGCGACAATTTAGTGCCGATATCTTATTAAAGGAAAAATGCACTTCAGCCACCTCATGCAAGATAGATAACACCACACGCAAGCTTACAAACAGCATGCCTAGTAAGCAAGAATACAAAACAAAAAAATCCATAATTTAAGGAAATTAGGGAAATCCAGTGAAAACAATTAAGATGAAAAATGTGGCTAAAGTGATGGCAATGAAGTTTACATGGCCAAGGTTCAAGCAGTCATACTTTGGAAGAATGATGTCCACATTGTTGTTTAAATCTTGAACAGCACGCGAGAGACTTGTAACGACATCACCCGGATCTCCAACCCGTATAGTTATAAAAAGGAAGTAATTGAGAAAAAGAAGGATAATGGAAAATCTTTTGGGTTTTTTTCTACATATTCGACCACAAACTGGAAATAATACAACACAGATGTCTATGATGTTCCATTTCTGTCTGTGGTTCAGCATCCTCTCCCCCAACTGTCTCATTTCCAAAACACTTTTAATTAGGAAAAGACATGTCTTTCTGGCCTTCTTTCAGCTTAAAGAATTTTCTCTTCATTAAGAGAAAGAATCTGAATGGACTCATAAGCAAAGAAAAACTAGAAAAGAAACCTTGATATATATCAGGGCAATAAAAAAAGTTTTAAAAACCGAAACTCCCTTAATGTCCAAAAGTTACCTTTACAGTAGGCCCCATCTCAACAGCAATATGCACAATGTTCATTGGTGGCTCTTGCACAATTCCTCCAAAAACAGGTATTCGATAATCCATACCGCCTTTGTTGTCAAAAGTTCCGGCATCTTCCCTCTCAGAGAATACAAACTCCATATATGCATCCAATGGAACCTTGACTGCAGAGTCACATAAAGTAAGTCTTTAATAGAAAGATTTAATGCAACAAAAGCCAAAAATAAAAAAGAACGCCATATGTTACCTAAGGAGATGATATAAAGCAACAATTGATAAGTCAACATGCCTAAAACTTAGGCACAGATTGAATTCCAAATAATTTATTAGTCTGGATCTATAATTCACATTTATTCTCTTGGACCAAAAGAGCTTTCAAGGGGAGTGCGCCGGTACGCAGAAGATGATAAAATGGTGAATGCAAACAGCAGATGACCCAAGAAGCGGTACAATTTTCTGTTCACTAAAATTGACCATAAAGGATACTGATAGGTGAAATAACTCACAAACTTATTAGAGAGAATGTTATTTTAAAAGCAGTTGATTAACTCATTGATCCATGAAACCATACAGACAAAGACAATTAATGCATGCATCCGATACGAGCTCAGTTATTGCCAAATAATTATGCATCAGAGAAAAACTTTTATGAAAAGCATTTGTTTGAAAACCATACTTTAGAAACTATTAAAGCAGTCAAAAGTGTACTTTTTGACCAAAGACACCTCTTGGTGAAAAGAAATCAACACAGGACAAGTCAATACGTGAAGACCTAAAGTTTGGTTGCCGAGTTACTAAGACAACCTAGTAAGGAAGAAAGCATGAAGCCCACAAGGGGAAATGATGTTCTTAATATCACATTCATTGTACACATTGTGTCATGGTCCCTTACAAGTCAATTCACAAGATTTGCCAAAGAGATTTACCTCACATTATTCCGTTGATTTGATATATTTGTCATCTAAACCTACAAAATTTGCTCAATATACCTTCTTAAGATTGAACGACTTATTATGATATTTACAAAATTTTTAACTCAAACTCACCCTACGAAGACTATTTAGTCTTTACAAATTGTACAGTCATAGTTCCAGATATAAAAAACAACCAATTAAAAATAAATCCACAAAGTTCATTAGTATTTCTGAACTTAATTCTATAAGCACCAAGTCACTTGAATGTTCATGTATTTCTCTCTCTCTCGATGACAAATAATTTTACTCACAAGCCACCACAACACCAATCACAACAGCCAAAACATTCGACTTTAAACTCTAATACACATGATCAAAACCAATACCGTCCAAGTTAGAAAGTAAGAAACATAGAGAGCAAACTTTTGATTAGAGAAATACGAAATAAGAAAGAATGAGAGACATAGCAGCATACTAGTGACCCAGAAATCCAACAATATAGTCATAGACAACTAAATATATTACTACCATATGTGTTATAAAAGGGGATCTTGACTTCAGGCGAAAAGAGGCACACATGTTTATTTGCATTTGTATCCAAGTATATCCTCTTAGAAATTATTGTTTCCTCTTTGTTTGATATCATCACTATTTCTCCACCTATAGAAACCATCATAAGCTTAAAGTGCCATAAGTGATGATCAGTTAAGACAGAAAAAAATTGTATCATTTCCAGAAGGAGATTTGACTTCAAAGTTTTTGTCATTATTAACACTAAGAAACAGCATATTTCTATTAGGAGATTATGAGCTGGTAAGAAGCTCATAATTAAGGAGATCAAACCTTAAAGCTAAAGGGTAGAAAATAAAAACTCAATAATGTCCTTTAATAAAGGTACACAAATGTCATCCAATAACAACAAGGCGAAAAGAAATTGTGCGGATGGTAATTGGTTAATCACATACACAAAAGTTCACAAATAACCAATTTCATCTAGTACGAGTAATTAAGTCATAATTAAGACGTCATATGTGCAAACCAATTTATACGTTCGAATAACTTATCAAAAGTAAGCTGCCTTTCAGAAATTATTCATAGTCACCACTCAACAACATCCTAAGTTCAAAATTAGTTCACACATTATACCCAATTACAAAAACACAAAAAAAAATAATAATAAATTCAAAATGAAAATCAATAAATTAAAACCTACCTTAGATAGATTGGAATTGAGATTGAGCTTGACCGAACATCAAAATCAAGATAAGCTGTATCAAGTAAGATTCAACCTCGATCAAAACAAAACAATTTTGTTAGCCATTTCGATTATTACAAAATCAGAATCAAAATGAATAGAAAGAGGAAGTACCGGTTTCGAAACGGCGCTGATGAAGAAGATGACAATGATTGAGCTGAAACTAGAGAGGAAAAAATTAGGGATTTTAAAAAATTAAGGAAAGATTCATTAGATTTTTGTCTCAAAACTGATTTGAAAAACAATAGATGAAAAAACATGATTTGCAGAGAGTGATTAGCCAAAAATCGCAGAAATGCAGAGGCTTAGCAGAGAGTGATTCATGTATACCTAGCTACAAGCAGAGGAAATCGAAGAAATTGTAGCAGAGATTGATAGTGTTGATGGAGAGTGGAGAGAGCAAGGGAGATTTTAGAAAAAAAAAAGAAAGAGAAATATGAAATATGAAATGAGAGAAAACAACTGAAAAAAAAAGAATAATACAGGTAAATGCATTTGTTCAGTTTAGATCTAATCAATCCTATCTATTCTAAAGAGCAGCCATATAGTTCCAAACATGCATTTTAATATTTGGGATGTGAACTTTATTGGGATTTGTATTCCCGTGTACAAATACAATAGATCTCTCTCTTTCAGTTCTCACTCAAGAGCTTTCATGCAAATCACATTTAGAGAAGAACACCAGTACTCTTTATGACATGATGTTGAAGGATTTTATTCCTACTGGAATTCACAAGTGTACGTGCTCCTGTATCCTCTGGAAGGACAACTGCAAGTAACACAGAATTTACATGATCAGCCTTCTTTCTTTCTTTCTTTTTTCTATAATTTATATTTTTGAAAATCATTCTCTAACCACAATAAAATGAAGAAAGATGAACATCGACAAGCTTACACTTGCATCTATTATTATTATTATATCTCAACATGTCAACTAAATTTGGTTGGTAGATAAGATTGAAGACAAAAATCAGAAAAAAATTTTAAAAAATGCATATAGTTCACAAATTAAGAACATGTGATAATAGTTTACATACTTAAATAAGTGTGGCCAAGTCGATGATAAGTGACTAATTCCACGACATTTCAAAAACCTAAGATGACAAAACCTTATGAAACCAAATCAAGTCAAATTCAATACTGCCTTATATACATTACGGTGTTATTATGACTCAAATATATATATATATATATATATACATATATACATATATATATATATATATGTATTATTTGGTTACTAAGAAGAACAAGAAACTTACGGAAATAACCATTGAAAAGAACAAAAAATGTTGCTTTTTCTAAAGAGTGTTATCTTAGGAATATTTAATGTTATTTGTATGGAAAATGTTTAATTAGTTATCCGAAAAAAGAAAATATTTTTAATATATTTTTGGATAATTGAAATATAATAATTTATAATTAAAAAGCAATGAAGGTACCTTCAATATGGACACAAGATACATAGCTGTCCTGCCAATGGTCTGCAAGAAAAATATCAAGTTCAAATGAAAATTGTCTTGAAAGGTGGTAAGAGGCATTCTATGTACTTTTCAATAATCTTAAACTATATACAAACAATTGTGTATCTTACTTTATTAATCCTTCTCCATGTTTTTCAAAAACTCTCTTTTGATATTTTTGAGCATGGAAACAACATCCTTCATATTTATCCGGTTTTCAGGTAAGTCAGATGAACAATCCAAAGCTAACGCCATGATGGACGATATACAATTCACTTTGACAACAAAATATTCATCCTCTTTATGCACTAAACTGGAGTCCGCTACATCAATTATTCCATTAGATAGTGACATTTTCACCCAATGTCTCATACTCATTTCTCCAGCAAAAGATTCATCAGTGGGCCTCTTTCTTGTGAAAATTTCCATGAGTAGAATACCATAACTATAAACATCACTTTTTAATAGAAACAATTCCTGCTGATCCATATTCTGCATTTTAAACATAATTGAATAATTAAAAGATATTATATCTTCATAATCATAAAAAATATGCTTATGTTAGAATATTGGTAAAAATAATAATAGAACATCACTCAGTGCCATGTAGCCAATAGTGGCAAGTGTCCATTGTTTTGTTTGCATAGAATCTTTCTTCTCCCAACAATTTGGAAATGCCAAAATCTCCCACATGGCAACCATGTCTTTTGTCTAGTTAAGACATTACTTGGTTTTTAGGTCACAATGGATTATAGGTGTTTGGATGTCCCAATGGAGGTATTCTAATGCTGATGCAACATCCATCATTATGTTGATTCTTTGTAGGATATCCAAGAAATAATTGTAAGAATATAACCATTTCTCAAGGCTCCCATTAGGTATGAATTCAAGCACTAAGGCTTTGAAGTCAATAGTAGAACAACAAGTAATGACCTTAACAAGATTGCGGTGAAAGATATTGCTCATCACTTCACATTCAATCTCAAAACTCCTAAATGCTCCATCTCTTTGCAAATTAAAAACTTTTATTGCAACATTTGTCCCATCTAAAAGTATTCCTTTGTATGCAGAGCCAAAACTTCCTGAACCCATTAAGTTGTTTTCACTAAATCCGTTAGTCCCTTCCAATAGCTGATTATAGGAAATTCTTCTCCATTTCTCGACAGGAATTAAGTCTTCAACAATCGCCAAATTCGTATTCCCCCGCTGCTTTTTTTTATAGACAATTATGACTGCAATAACTATTATTATTGAAGCAAATGTTGGTAAAACATACCTCAAAGCATGTAGAGCGGTCTTCTTGAATTTCCGATGGATTTTATTTTTGCAAGGTGAGACTTGTAGTCTAGGTGAACCGCAGAGTGCATAATTTTTCATGAATGATTTGGCAGTGAAGTTTAAAAAGGGACCTCCACTTGGGATTTCCCCTTCTAATCTATTGAAAGACACATTTAAATAATTGAGATCATGAAGTCTTTCCAAGGACTTTGGAATGACTCCAGAGAAATTGTTGTTAGATAAATCCAAACTTTTCAAACTCATCAAGTCACCGAATGATTCAGGAATAGGACCTTGTAATCTATTACTAGCAAGATTCAAAACCTGTAGATCATGTAGACTTCCAATTGTGGGCGGAACATCACTTGATAATAAATTCCTTGACAATTTCAAAGAGATAAGTACCTTCAAATTTCCAATGTCAAGTGGAAGTGAACCGCTAAGATTGTTTGATGACAAGTCTATTTCTAAAATATATTTAAGGCTCCAAAAAGTCAAAGGTATTTTTGAATGCAATTTGTTGGAGAACAAGTATAGATATCTCAGAGAAGTCAAATCACACAAACATGTCGGTAAAGGCCCATCAAGCTCATTATCACCTAATGATAATTTGTACAATCCCTTCAAACCACAAAGATCATATGGGATAGAGCCTTGTAACTTATTTCCATAAAGACGCAAAAGTTGGAGATTTTTTAGCCTTCCTATTGTTGTTGGAATAGGTCCACTCAATTTATTAGAGGAAAGGTCTAACAATATAGCCTTGCTTAAGCTACCAATTTCCATGGGAATGCTGCCTCTAATTTTGCAATCTCTAATCAATAAATATTGAAGTGATGTAGAGAGATTTGAGATAGAAGTTGGAAGAATACCGTCCAATGCGTTGGATGATAGCTCTAAATATCTTAGGTAGTTGCAATTTGCCAAGGAATAGAGAAAATTCCACTCATGAGTTGAAGCTTCGGTGTTCAAATGATTAAAATCAAGGCGCAATTTCTCAAGGAACCTCAAATTGCCAAATGTATTTGGTATAAGGCCAGAGAATGAGTTTTCTTGTAATTCTAGGATTCTGAGCTTAGAAACATTGGAGATAGATTCAGGAATATTTCCACTGAGATTATTCCTCCATAAGTAAAGCTCCTCAAGATTTGAAGCAGAGCTCATGTGTGGTAATTTACCTAAAAAGAAAAAAAAATAAGTTTGCATCTTCCCATACAAGAAATAAATTAATTGTTTTGCTTTATTGCGTTTTTCATGAATCTATGATGCAAGCTGAAGTGAATGAAATGCTTACATATACGAACATGAATGAGGAGAAACATGAAGCCTTTTAACAATTATAAATATGAAACAACTTCAAGTTTATCTTGGTTGATTTATAAAATTTTTTCATATTTATAAAAATATATTAAAAGGCTCCATGCTTACGTACGTATAATAAAGTAAAAAAGAGGAAAAAGAAAAGTAAAAGAACAAACGGAAGATAGAAGAAATTTTGGTTGTGAGAATTTTATTTTCTTTAACTTATCTCAATTGCTTTAATGATAAAAAAGATTAAAGAAAATTTGGTTAATGAAATTGTTCCAAAAGGAAAAACAAATAAAATAAAAATTGAAGAAAATAAAAAATATATATTTAAATTAATTTGTTTGAGAAAAGAAAAATATGAAAGTGTAAATGTTTGGAAATAAAATTAGAATTTTTATCTATCCTATTTTAGAAAAAAAAGCCCTCAAGAGAAATGATAAAATTTCTCTCATTTTAGACTATATGGATAGTTTAAAAGAAAAATACAAAGATTCGACGAAAAGATTGTTAAAAGTACATGCACTCACTTTAGTTTGAAAATCACTCTCTTACTTCCCTAAGGGTTGATAGAACCTTACGAGTGCTCTACTAGAGAAGGTTCATTTGAGGTTTGTTTGAGTAATATTGTATACATTTTACTATTACAATAAAAAAATTTAGTAATATGATGATAAATAATGTGAAACTAATAAAAAAAGATTTGAAAATGATGCTTTTGATTACACAATTAGTGCTTTTTAGTTTGTAAAAGAACAATTAATTAATTTCTCTAATTTGACAACAAAAGAAAGGTAAAAGTAGCATTGTTTTTCATTGCATATAATTAAAATGAAAATACCAATTATAATTGTTATAGTGTAATTAATTAATTATAATTTAAAATTATGTAATGTCTATCAAAATTTTATATAAAATTTACATTTATAAATTATGACTCCTACGTATTACTTTATTGTGGTTGAATAATAATTATAATATTATAATAAAAAAATTATAGGTGAAATACAATCATTAAAAATTTAGGTAACATTTGACAAAAAGTTGGTAATATTAAAACAATCTCCCGGTAAAAAAGTTGTAGTTGGGAGAAAATTGGAAATTGACACGTGGTTGAGCAATTAAGAATTTTTTTTAAAATTTTGAATGTTAATTTTTTTGGGAAAAGAGCACAACTAAAAAAAAATCATTAATACTATATTTTAAAACAATTATTTAAGGGATTATCTATTTGACATTTTGCATTATCTCATTGGATACATTTGTTAATTGTTTTTAAGATTTCATTTTGCCATTTGTTCTCATTTGATTGGTTGGTTTTTGTTAATTTTATATAATTAATCGTAAGTTTGGTCCTCAATTATCATATAGACTTTACTGATTTGTCTTAAAAGAATGGGCTGAGTAAAAAAAAAAAAGAGTTTATCTTTCCGAGAGTCTGCTCCAGAACTAGGTTTCTATGGGTGGAGTCTCAGTCTTGTCACATACAAGAGTTTTTTTCCTTTGGATCATCGGTGAACTTTGGTCTTTGGGGGTTAGTGCAAGTCGAGTTTAGTGGTGTTGATTCGTTGGAAACGGTTGATAGAGAGTCTAGGTACCGGAGGTCCTATGGAAGACGACCTGGACCAACTGTGGTTGGAACTTGTCATTCACTGAGGAAGAGAAAACAGGGATGGAAGTGTGTTATGGGGCCAATACAAATGAGATGGGTGAAGAACACAAATGGATGGTGGACAAGATTAATATTGTAAGGCCATTCAATAAAGATACAATGATAAGCATTTTACTACTACAATAAAAAATTACGATCACAAAAAAATGTGAAACTAATGAAAAAGATTTTAAAATGATGCTTTTGATTACACAATTATTAGAGGGTGAAAAGCCTTGCCTTAGTCCGATTTAGAGGGGAAGTAACGTTAAGTAAAAAAGCTCTTCTTGGATACCATGAAGGCCACACAAGAACATTACCTTCGGAGAAAAAAATTTGTTACACTGTTTGTTGATGGAATTTTTCCAGGTTGTAGTGTCTTTAATCTTAAGCAACAATTTGTCAGATGTGGGAGGGTGGTTGATTTTTACGTCTCCGAAAATCAAATTTCTAAATGGTTTGCACCTGAGGTATTCCACTCTATATGTTCAAAAGGCAAGGTATGATCAAAGATCTCATGTTAGTTCTAAACCCACCACTCAGTACATGGAAAAAAGGTGTTATCTGCATAGAAGACTTTAGAGATGGACGATCTCATGTAGAGGTTGTTAATATGTCAGTCAAATCCACTCAGTTAAAGGATAACACTATTTGAAAAATTAATATTGTAAACACCATTTTATTATTATTATTATTATTATTTATTTAATTTTTTTCTCTCTTTCTTCCCGTTTTTTGCGTTTCTCTTCTTCTTCTTTTTTCTCTTCTTTCTTTCCTTTTTTTTTTCTTTCTTCTTCTTCCTTATCCGATTCAAATCTAGTGCATTAAATGCACAATCCCTAAAGTCCAAAATTACCGTCGCTAGTTGCCAACGGCCAACCGACAAGCCACCAATCACGAACGGCATGCGTGATTTCTCAGTTAAAAAATGGGATTCGAATCCCAGAAGATTTGAGATTTGAATCCCAAAAAGCTCTATAAATAGAGCTTGTTATTTGCAAACGAAAAGGAGGAAGAACGCGAAAAAAAAAATGGTAAAAAATTTTTTTACAAAAAAACAAAAAAAAAAGGCTTCTATTTAAAAACAATTTTAGCAGAAACACAAAAAAAAAATACACAATCCTCCCGTAGGGAAGAATCCAGTGCCGAGCTTCTTACACGAAGAAAAAAAAAGGGTCAGTTTAAAAAAAAAAGGGGTTAGAATACAAAAATTTTTTTTTCACCGAAGCTTTAAAAGCAGATATAGGGAAGTGGAGACTCCTTTTGGTGCAAAGGAGGTCAGATCTGTGCTCAGGAGGTCGAGAGAAACATTTTGGTGTTTTTAGAAAATTTTCAACCACTGACGACGGAAGCCGGTGACCTGCGAACGACGGGACCGGCGAACGACGGCGACGTGACGGAGGTCGACCAGGTAGCGTTTGTCTAAAGAAGAAAGGAGAGAAAAAAACAGTCATTTTTTTTGGAGAAAAAAGGAAAAATAATCGAAAATTTTTTTTTGAACCTTTTTATATAAACGGTGAAAACCAAAACGATGTCGTTTCAATTAATGCCCAAAACGACGTCGTTTAGACCAAGGAGGATCCGCGCATTGACCCGGACCTAACCCGAGGTCCGCGCACCCAATTCGACGACCCGCTTCTCCATCAGCCTCTAATCGGTTTGACTGGATCGAAACCTAACCATCCAGATCGAACCGAATCGGTACTGAATCGCTGAGCCACCCAAACCGTGCCCAGACCGAGACGAACCGTGGGACCGAACCGTGCGTTGATCGGACCATTGACCGATCCAGTTCAGGTAAAAAAATTTTTTTTTTGAATTTTTTATATATTATTTTTTAATATTTATGCATATTAAAATATTTATATTTGTTAGATTAAATGATGAAATATGTGGTTAAATTTTTTTTAATTTTGTTAATTTTTAAAATAAACTTTAAAAACAAAATAATATAAAAATAAATTTAATAATAATACTAAAGTAACAAAAAATGAGAAAAAATGAAATTTTTATCCGATGATGGAATTCTAAAAGTATTCCGAGTAGAGATGCTTTAAGAAATCTCTAGGTGAGTAGAATTTTTGTAAAATATTATCAACGCATTGGAATATTTATAAAAAATCTTCAATATAATTAAATTCCTTTTTCTTCAAAATTTTAATTTTAAATAAAAATATTAATAAAATAATTAATAAAATTTTTAACAAACGAGAATAAAATATGCGCATAAACATAGTAACATTTTGCATTGCATGCATGACATAATTTTTTACGAAAAGTAAATTCAGACCTTCGAGGATGAGATTCTAAGGTATTCCAAGAAGTGATGTCTAAGAAATCTCTAAGTGAGAAAAAGTTCTTCTAATGTTACCAACGTACTGAAACATTTTAAGAATTATTTCAATAAAAAAGTTTTAATTTATTTTTCTAGAGAATAAATTTTTTCTAATAAATAAAAAATTCAAAGAAATTATTTTTTTTGAACACCGAAAATAAAACTGTTTTTATCAAAATCAAAGGATAACATGTAGTTAATTGGTACCGTTTTTTAACAGGCACTGTGGGGGTGCTAATCCTTCCCCACACATAACCAACTCCCGAATCCAGACTGTTGCACAGACCCTAAAATTATCTTTGAAATAAATTTTAATTAATTTTAAGATTTCATTAAAAGGATATGTTTTAATAGGTGGCCAATCGCACCTAGCCAAAAAAAAATTGGTGGCGACTCCATTATTTTTTTTATTTTGTTTTCAAATTCATCGGGCAGATACAAAAACTGTTACGATAGGATGGCGACTCCGCTGGGGATAGGTATTAATTTTTAAGAGTCAGACCAAAATTAACTACTTGTTATCCTTAAATTTTGATTTAAATAGTCTTAATCAATTTCTTAAATTTTTATTCTTCATTTTTAGTAAAAAAAATAAAAAACAAAAAGCAAAAAAAATTCACACATTTCTTTTAGTATGCCTCTTATGTTTTATTTTTCTGTATATATTGCTTTCAATAAATTAGTATATATTTGCACATAATGGCACGATGCATCTAATACATGAGCTCTATACCCGGGCTCCGTCCTTTGTAGGAGGAAGTAAAGTACCTATGCTCTTGTGAGGTGATAACCTCCGCAATGGCAAGTGAAATACTTTCACTCGAATTGAACCCTTTCCGTTCATAGCCTGTAATGGGTGAGGATCGGGGTGTC